TCTGGGACCCTTTAGGCAGGCTTTGTTTTAGAAAAGACCTTACACCACACTACTTCTGAATCCCCAATAGCACTGACTACAGCAAGCACAGGCCTGGGGTAAAAAAATAGACTGGGTAAGTACTTGACCTCTCTGGGCCTCAGTTTTTTCATTCTTTAAAATGAAGATGAGCCCTGGCCGATTTGGCTCAGCGGTAGAACGTCGGCCTACAGACCAATGAGTCTCGGGTTCAATTCTGGCCAAGGGTAGGTACCTCGGTTGCAGTTCATCCCCGGCCCTGGTCGGGGTCATGCAGGAGGCAACCAGTTGATGTGCCTCTCTCACGTTGATGTCTCTCTCTTCCTCTGTCTCTCTCTCTCTCTCCCTCCCACTGTATCTGATGATAAACAGACAAATATCCTCAGGTGAGGATTAACAAATAAATTAAATAAATAAATAAATGGCCAGTGTTGCCCATTGGTTAGAGCATTGGCCCATGCACCAAAGGATCTCAGATTCAATTCCTGTCAAGGTCACATACCTGGGCTGCAGGTTTGATCCTGGGCCTCTGGAACATGTGGGAGGCAACCAATCAATGTGTCTCTCTCATACTGATGTTTCTCTCTCTCTCTCTCTCCCCCCCCCTCCCTCCCTCCCTTCCACTCTAAAAATCAAGGGAAAAAATATCCTCGGGTGAGGATTAACAATAAATAAAAAATAAATAAAATGCGAATGAAAACACTTATTTCACACACTGTAGCCAGAATTAATGTAGATGGTGTCTGCTAAGTGCCTGGCTCCTTGTAGGCATCTATAAACATTAGCTGCTGTTGCTGTTATTATTGGGTGTCACTGATCCTGAGTCACCATTGATTATAAAATGCACTATTATTTTATGCATCACTAAGAAAGACAAAAAAGTAGTACAGTTGAATTATGACCCACTCACCAGTGCTTGAGAGATGCAGCCTGATTTCAGAGATGTTAAAAAATTTAAATGCTTCTTGCACCCTGTCTGGCTATGTTGTTCCTTAACCTGCATTCTGGTTCCACATGTATATTTGCTGGTGAAAAGTCACTCCACTGATCACTCATGGTCTGTGTGTTACACTCCAATATGAAGTTCACATTAAAAACAGGTCATCCTAGCCAGTTTGGCTCAGCGGTTAGAGTGTCAACCTGTGGACCAAAGGGTTGCAGGTTCAATTGCCGGTCAAGGGCACGTACCTGGGTTGCAGGTTCGGTCCCCAACCCTGGTCAGGGTCGTGTGGGAGGCAGCCAATTGATCTGTCTCTCTCACGTCGATGTTTCTTTCTCGTTCTCTCCCTCCCTCCCTTCCATTCTATCTAAAAATCAATGGAAAAATATCCTTGAGTACGAATTAACAATAAATAAATAAATACCCCCCAAAACAGGTCAAACCTGTGTGGCTTGGAATGGATAAAAAACAAAACAAAACAACAACAACAACCCTGTTTTGGTTCCAGCATTGGACAAGGCAATGCACATGCTAGGCACTAAATCAATGCTAAATGAACAGACAAGTGGCTCGGAGTAGGACAGAGTAATAACAGGGTGGCTTCTTACTTGTGAGGTCTCCTGAAAAGGAGCTAGTCCTTTTGAAAGATTCATTTACCAGGTGAGCAGGAGATGCCCACTCCAAGGTCACTAATTTGAGGTTTTGCAGATGAAGAAACTGCCTAAACCCACACAATTTAGTATAAATGGTAGAGTTGGGGTTTTAACCCAGGTTGTCGGCCTACTAGAACCTAGGCCATTACCCACTATCATATATTGTTTGGAGAGGGCCAAGGGATGCTCCCCAAAGACCCCCACATCACTCCTCCAGATCCAGGCAGAAAGAGGTCATGCTTTGATACATCCAATAAAGGGTTAATATCCAAAATTTATAGAAAACACATACAACTCAATGCTAAAAAAAAATTCAATTTAAAAATGGGCAGAGGACCTGAATAGACACTTCAAAGGAGACACACAGATGGTCAATAGACATATGAAAAGATGCTCAACATCACTAATCATCAGAGAAATGCAAAATAAAACCACAATGAGACATTGCCTCATACCTGTCAGAATGATCATCATCAACCAATAAATTAACAACAGGTGTTGGTGAGGAACCCTTGTGCGTGCACTGTTGGTGGGAATGCAGATTGGTGCATCCACTATGGAAAACAGTATGAAGGGTCATAAAAAAATTAAAAATGGAACTGCCTTATGACTTAGCAATTCCACTTCTGGGTATATATCTGAAGGAATCCAAAACACTAATTTGAAAGAATATATGCACCCCTATGTTCATTTCAGTGTTATTTACAATAGCCAAGCTATGGAAGCAACATGAACTGCCCATCAATGGATGAGTGGATAAAGAAGCAGTGGTGCAGCCCCGCCAGTGTGGCTCAGTGGTTGAGTGTCAACCCATGCACCAAGAGGTCGCCAGTTCGACTCCTGGTCAGGGCACATGCCAAGGTTGTGGGCCCAATCCCCAATGGGGGCATGCAGGAGGCGGCCAATCAATGTTCTCTCTTATTGATGTTTCTATCTCTCTCTCCCTCTCTCTCTCTAAAATCAATAAAGAAAAAAAAAAGAAGTACAAATTGGTAGTTACAAAATAGTCATGGAGATGTAAAGTACAGCATAGGGAATATAGTCAGTAATATTGTAATAATTATGTATGGTGCCAGATGAGTACTGGACATATCAGGGGAGCACTTTGTAAAGTGTATGATTGTCTGACCACTATGCTATACACCTGAAACTAATTCAAAATAATATTAAAGGTTTATTGTATTAACAAAAATGATATATAGCCCTGGCTGGTGTGGCTCAATTGGTTGGAGCATTGTCCCATACACCAAAAGGCTGTTGGTTTGATTCCCAATCAGGGCACATACCCAGGTTGCGGGTTTGATCCCCAGGTGGGGAGCATATGGAGGGCAGCCAATCAATGTTTCTCTCTCTCTCTCAAATCAATAAAATAAAATATATGTATATGTGTATAAACAGAATATTTATTTTGGAAATGTGTAGTATATAGAAAAAAACTGGAAAGGAATAGGGAAACATTGTGTCTAGGGAGTTTTTTTTTCTTTTAAACTTCCTTTAACATTGTATTTTAAAAGTTTCAAGTGATGAAAAAAAAAAGGTCATACATTAAGCTACTCTCATGGGTTAGACAGGCCTCTTGGACTCCTGGGAGTGGGAGGGTCCTGCCTGCCTCAGGAGACTGGGGGCATATGAGGATTAGCATCTGACTGTTCTAGAAGGAATAAGGGAGGGAAGGGGAATCAATGGTGGGACTTATGCTGTTGAGTGTTACACTCACAGCAGGCAGAGCTGATGGAACCTGCCATTTCTCCAAACAGCTCACAGCTGGACTGACAGACAAGTGGACAGAATAACCATTTGGTTAACTGTATAACTGTTTGGTTGACTACATAACTCAGAGACCAACAAGGAGAGGAGCAGTTTCAGGAACTGAGAGTGAGGTTTCCCAATGCTGTGCGGTACTGAATAGTTAACAATGAAAGCCCACCTGGGATTGACTGGGGCTAGTGATCTGACAGTGAAGACTGGAAACCACCTGAGGGATTGACATACTGGCTGACTCCTGACCCATGGTGGCAGGATGCTGTGCATGGATGATTATTGCTAGGAATCACACCTGGCCCGAGGGAGTGTCTGGATGTTAGGCTGCCTGGTGATGGGTAAAGGAGAGCTATCCTGAGGGGATTTCAGGCTGGCTGATGGACAGATCTGTGACCCTCTGATAGGCAAGTGTTTCTGGTGACTGTCTGGCCTGACCAAATCACAGCATGCATGACAGACCATGTGCTCAGTTGGATGCTGAGCATGGCTACCTTGCTGACTGACAATATGATGAGGAGCAGACAGAACGGGTCACAGGCAAGCTGACCAACTGAAAGAGCAGCATAGCTTATGACTGTATGAGGTTAGAATCACAGCTGCCCTGATGGGTCAAAGAATACCGACTGACTGTTCAGTGGGGGTATGCCTCCCTGAGAAAGGACAGATTGCTAACCCACTGGCATGTGGCATGGAGGCTTAATGTTACCTTTAGTTGCTGTGAGGGAATAAACTACCTGATCATGGTCCGAATGAGGGGGGAAATGACAGTCACTGACAACTGATGGATAGAGTTGACTGCCTGACAGGGCTACAGGAGATGCCTACAATGCCAGCCAGGCCTGACCCAATCGCAGTCTGCCTGAGGGCATGGCTGGGGCTTCTTGAGCAAGGAGTGAGATGACATCCCCAGGGATATTCAGAGCAGGTGCCAGGGCAAGGGTAGCCAGAGAAACCGCTGCTTTGAGTGACTGCCACTGAAGAAGGGACCCTCTGAGGCAGTAACAGGCTGACTAGCCGTGTGACTGTTAGTAAGCGCCGCATGTCCGCCTCTAGGGACTTGCCGCTGGCGGGGTGGAGGGGCACGGATGGCTGCTGCTGGTGACTGATGGCGTGAACGGCAGGCATGGCAGGTGGGGTCTGACTAGGCAGTTGTGATGACTGATCCATTGTGTGATTTGAGTCCGGACTGATTTTGAGACTGAGCAGCAGTCTGGGACCATAGTCTACCTTAGGAGGGGGATCACGACCTGCTCTGGGTTAAGGGGCTGCCCAAAGGTGGTAATTGGGAGTCTGACAGAACGAAGGATTTCCGCCACCCCCCACCCTGCCTCCCGGGTCTGGCTGTCTGACAAGAGGATTGGCTGACACAGCGTGACAGACAGACCGGCGGACGGGCAGGGCCTCCGGCAACCTCCGTAGCCGCTGCCGCTGCCGCTGCCGCTGCCCAGACGTACACTGGGAAAGCGCGGGCGAGCACCCGCCTTCGGGACCGAGCAGAGTGGCGGGAGGGGTCCGGTCACGGCTCGCCGGTTGGTCCGCGCGGGCACTGCTCCTGGTGCGGTGCGGCCAATAGGCTGCGCGTTCTCGGCCACGCCCGCGCGAGGTCTCTTCTCGCGAGGCCGGTTAGGCCCGAATGTCGTTAGCCGTGGGGAAAGATGGCGGAAAATTTAAAAGGTGAAGTAGTGGTGGCAGCGGCGCCGGCCTGCTGGCCGGGCTGCGTGGGCTGGAGGGATAGCGTCGCGGGCTCAGGACCCAGGCGTCCGAAGCCACGGAGCTGGAAGTCGGAAGCCCAGCGCGGAAAGGCTGGGGCTCGGGGAGCGCGGGCCTGGCGCGCGAGGCAGGGCGGGGCTGAGAGGAGGGGGCGCGTGCTTCGGAAGGCGGCGGGCACAGGACGAAGTGGGGACTTGTGAAGGGGGCGCGCGCCTCTAAAAGCGACTGGACGGCGCGTGCGCGCGCGCGCGGGGGTAGCTGGTCCGGGAGGTCGCGCCCGCGCGCGGGAAAATTGGCCGCCAGTGACCGTTACCCGCTTGGTGTCCACGCGAGACGCCGGAAGGAGAGGGAAGGGGAGGGGGCGAACCTTTTCAGAGTGGAGGGGATATAGGAATTTTGTGTTCATGGTATCGCCTGTCAGCGTGACGAGGGAAGGGTCCGCAGAAGAGAGGACTTCCTCAGGAAGAGGGGCACGGGCTTCCCGAGTGGGAGAGCTGGGCTCCCCCGTGTGCAGGGAAAATGGGGTGATTTTCTCAATATATTGGGGGTGGGCTCCTCTGAGTAAGGAAAGCTGTGGGGAGGATGGGTTCCACAAAAACAGACTGGGGGTGTTAGGATATCTAAGGGATAGGAGATTACACCTGTGGTCAGTGTGGCGGCAGCAGCTGGAGATGTGAGTTGGGACCACTTTAGTGGGGTTTCAAGTGCAAGTTAAGGGGTTTGAAAGGGAGAGACATATGGAGAGGAAGGCGTGGGCACAGGCCGAGTCTCCACTAGGTCTTCCTAAGTGTGTGTGTGTGGGGGGGGAGGTGTAGTGCACATGATACAATGTTGCAAAGCTCTTACACATTTTTAGGTTGACATCTAGAGCATTTCATCATGAGTTTAAATGTTTCTTTTTTTAAATGGGAGGTAGAAAATATTAATAGGCTGAGGACTGACTGACTACATTTGGATTAAGTGTTCTGTGAAAATATCTGATAAAATGGCTTCTAAAGCACATTAAGAATGTGCCTTGAATCTGAATCAGGTTTGTTTGGTTTTTTTAAAATCTGTGTCTTGAAAGTTTTTGGTAGCCTCAATAATATCCCAGGTATATTTAATCATTGTCACTAATGTATTACTGTTTTGCCTGTTCCTGAATTGCTTTGGGCAAGCTTTACCCTTCAAAAAATGTGGACGAGGCTGAGAAAGTCCAAATGCAGTGTGAAAAAATATACCTTGTGGGTTTAAGGTACCCAGACTAATCATTCAAGGAGGCTTCCTGTAATCTAATACCATTCCACAATCTCATTCATAGTTCCAGATTTTAAAAAGCCCTGAAAATTTAAGTTTCGGTGGCAAAACTAGACTTTAAGGTGGAACTATTCAGTGACGCTATCTTGCATCTTTATTTCTCCTGTTTAATGTGAAAATGTGGACTTTTGCTGTAGAACTATTAAAGTGTTTGATTATGGCTTGAAGCCCCTGACCACACTGGGAGTATTAGGTAATGTATGGGATATACCTAGAACTACATTTATAAAGTAAAATAAAAATTCAATTTCTAAACACATCTGGCCCCAGGGATTTCAGATCAGAGCTTGTAGGCTAGTCTTTCCAGTTTGGTACCCTGGAGGTTTTAACCTCATCCCACCTATGCCCTTGGGGCAATGCACCCTACTAAGATGGGTGGTGGTTCTCTTTTTGCAAAATGGGAAGGAGAGGAGGATTAGGTCCTGAACTACAGACTGGTTTTGCAGGCAGTTTTAGGAATAGTATAGAGGGAGTTGGGAGTTCTGGGAATTGATTCCTTTAGGACAGTCCATGCAGCAGATCCCACTTTGAGGTCTGCTGCTCCAGGGGTAGCCTTGGATAGGGAGCACTGGGGTTGAAGGAACTGGCACATTTTTGTGATAGAAAGATCTTAGCATTGGGAAGACCTATGGATTAAATTTCACTGATTCTGAGGCAGTCCTTCCAAAGTCCCAGGGAGGACTTGGGGTACCTTTTGACTCCTGGCCTTTCCAGGATGCCCAGTAATGTTTTTTTGTTTCTAGGCTGCAGTGTGTGTTGCAAATCTTCTTGGAATCAGCTGCAGGACCTGTGCCGCTTGGCCAAGCTCTCATGCCCTGCCCTTGGCATCTCCAAGAGGAATCTCTATGACTTTGAAGTCGAGTACCTGTGTGATTACAAGAAGATCCGAGTGAGTCTGGGGTGACCATGGCCGGATGGGGGTGTCTCAAGGAAGCTGGCTTCCTGCCCCCTTGCCCCCACTGTCTGCATCTGATTCCAAAGAAAATTTTATTCTCTGATCTTAAAAAAATAGGATTAGTAGGCCCTCTTTTCATTCCTATCTTACTGGTGAGAAAACCAAGTGACTTTCTGAGGGAGGCAGGAGCCAGGATGAATTCCCAAATAAGTCTTTCCTCCTACCTCCCTAAGAATACAAACCAGTTGAGCTGCTGAGCCCAGGAGTGGGGATGAGGCTAGCTAATGGTTATTGAGTACATTCAGTGTGCAAGGCACTTTCTCGCAGAAACTCATTTAATCCCCTCAACAACACTGAAGTGGGAACTGTTATGGCCAGAGGAGATAATGGCAGGATAGTTACAAGAATAGACTGGAGCTAGCATGCTTGGGTTCAAATCCTGATCGTGTACCCCCAGGATACTTATGTAAACCCTCTGTACTTTATTTTCCTCCTCTGTAAAATGGGGATGCTTAGTAGTTAGTATCTACCTCATGTAGAGTTGTGAAGGTTAAATTAATAATAAAGGTAAACTATGTAGAACATATGCTACATTATGCTACATAATGAATGCTAATTTTTTTTTAGCTTTTTTCCTTATTTACAGATAAAGAAACTAAGGCTCAGCAAAATTAAATAACTTGTCCAAGGCCACACAGCTAGGGAATGACAGATTCAGAATTTGTACCCAGGTGTCTAAGTAAAATCTGTGTAGTTAAACTGTATCTTATAGCTGCTTCTCAGCAAGAAAAGGTCCCTCTGCTGTTTGGAGAACAGAATATTGGGGCAAGGGCAGAAGCAAGGGGACCAGTAAGGAGGCTACTGCTCCAGTCCTGGTGAGCGATGATGGTGGTGGCAGTGATGATGGTTGGAAGTGGTCGGATTCTGGATGTAGTTTGAAGGTGGGGCTGACAGGATTTGCTGAGGGTGGATGTGGGGAGTGTCAGAGAAAGGAGTCAAGGATGACTCCCAACAGTTGGGGCCTGAACAGCTAGCAGGAGGGAGCTGATAATGGGGGAAGACAGAGAAGGGAGTAGGTTTTGGAGATTAAATTAAAAGTTGGAATTTAGCCCTGGCCCATGTGACTTGGTTGGGCATTGTCCTGTGTGCTGAAAGATTGCCGGCTCAATCCTTGGTGGGGGGGTCATGCGGGAGGTGGCTGGTTGATGTCTTGTTCTCATATCGATGTTTTTCTCTCTCTCCCTCTCCCTCCCTCTCTCTTTAAAAATCAATTTTTAAATTTTTAAAAAATTATTTTTAAAAAGTTGGACTTTAGACAGATAATATGAGTAAAGCAGGCTTTGAACCTACTGATCCTGGCTTTAGAGCCCTTGCTTTTTAACCAATGCATGGAGTTATTCCAGAAAAGGGTGGGGAGTGGTTTGGGTGTTATCCATTGGTTTTAGAATGGAAGTCCCATGAGGGCTGGCCCAAGGGCCTCACCACTTATGGTGGCCCCCGTACCCCTGGTCCCCCCAACAGGAACAGGAATATTACCTGGTAAAATGGCGTGGATACCCAGAGTCAGAGAGCACCTGGGAGCCACGGCAGAATCTCAAGTGTGTGCGCATTCTCAAGCAGTTCCACAAGGACTTAGAACGAGAGTTGCTCCGGCGGCACCACCGGTCAAAGCCCCCCCGGCACCTGGACCCAAGCTTGGCCAGCTATCTGGTGCAGAAGGCCAAGCAGAGGCGGGCACTCCAGCTCTGGGAGCAGGAGCTCAATGCCAAGCGCAACCATCTGGGACGCATCACCGTGGAGAACGAAGTGGATCTGGATGGCCCCCCACGGGCCTTTGTATACATTAATGAATACCGTGTTGGTGAGGGCATCACCCTCAACCAAGTGGCTGTGGGCTGTGAGTGCCAGGACTGCCTGTGGGCACCCGCTGGAGGCTGTTGCCCTGGGGCATCGCTACATAAGTTTGCCTACAATGACCAGGGCCAGGTGCGGCTGCGAGCTGGGCTGCCCATCTACGAGTGCAACTCCCGATGCCGTTGCGGCTATGACTGCCCCAACCGTGTGGTACAGAAGGGTATCCGCTACAACCTCTGTATCTTCCGCACGGATGATGGGCGTGGCTGGGGCGTCCGCACGCTGGAGAAGATCCGCAAGAACAGCTTCGTCATGGAGTACGTGGGAGAGGTAGGGAGACAGGACCATGCGTGTGTGTGCAGCTCTTCCCACCTTGTATTCCCACTGTGTGCACCCAGCTCTCATCATGGTGTGCCTGCAACTTCCCTGCTTTCCCTGTGGAAAAGGTGGGGGGGGGGTGTGTTTTACACAAGTGCTAGGGATATCTTGTCAGGGGAGAGTATTCCAAGCAGGTAGTTAAAAAGCACATTGAGCCCTGGCCGGTTTGGCTCAGCGCTTAGAGCGTCAGCCTGCGGTCCAGAGAGACCCGGGTTCGGTTCCCGTAAAGGGCAGATACCTCGGTTGCAGTTTGTCCCCGTGGGTCTTGTGGGAGGCAGCCACTCGATGTGTCCCTTTCACGTCGATGTCTCTCTTTCTCTCTTTCTCTCTTTCTCTCTTTCTCTCTTTCTCTCTTTCTCTCTCTCTCTCTCTCTCCCTCTCTCCCTCCCTCCCACTCTATCTGAACAAAAAATGGAAAGATGTCCTTGGGTGAGGATGAAAAAAAAAAAAAAGCACATTGAAATACTTCCAGACTGGGTTGATTTCATAAGGGTACCTAGCAATGAGGAGAGTGGGAACTGAAATCCAGGCAGTGTTCCTTTTAATGGGCTATGTGGTCTGCACAGGGTTGCGTCACCTAAAAAGGCACTTCTCTTCTCATTTTACAAGGGTCCAGCTTATTGCTAAGCAGTGTCTTCCTAGAAAGAGCACCTTTTACTAATCTGCACAAAAGGAACACAGTCTGGAATAGGACATGGACATGCCTTGCAGAGGTTGGCTGCTTCCTTCTCTAGACTTGCAGGACGCTGTGGAAAGACCAACTATATTAGGCAGGTTAGCTGCCATACCAAACAATTTGCAAGTCTTAGTGGCTTTGCACATTAGAAGTCTGTTTGCTCCTGTAACAGTCTGCTGTGGGTGTTTGGGTAGTATCCTTCTACACAGAGGCACGGCCACCTAGGCTCTTTCCCTCTTGTGCCTTTTGCCATGCCTGAGAGCCATGGAGCTGCCTCTGATTCTCAGCCTTGCTGGTAAGTGGGCCAAGGGGGGTTGGGGGGAGAAGGGAAGGTTTCTAATGGGCTAGGCCTAAACTCAGTGCACATCACTTTTGTCCACATCCACTGGCTGGAACTGAATCACTGACCTTACCTCCATGCAGGGGAGGCTGCGAAGTATGATTTAGCTATGTGCCCGGGTGGAAAACAAGGGATTTGGGTGAAGAACTAGCACGTGTCTGCAACTACAGTGTCACATTGAAAGGTGGGAGGCAGTGGGCGTTTCGGGTAGGGCAGTTCTTTGTTATGTAGGACCATCTCATGCATTGAGGAACATTTAACATCCCTGGACCTGGACCATTTATCCATGAGTGTGCCCTGTCATGGTGACAACCCCCAATTCCTCCATATTTCCATAGGTTTCTTAGGGGTTGCTATGATTGGGAAGTGACAGAAAATGGTGTAAGGGACACACTTCTGAGGATGTCCACACCATAGTAATGACACTGATGAAGAGGAGAGGCTCCCACTTTGACAAACTGTAAAGTAGAGAGGGTTGTGGCCCTGGGGGGCAGAGACAGTCTAGAGGCAGAGTAGTCCACAATACAGAGGACCCTGACAGTCTGGATGAGGAGATGTTCATACCCCAGACAATCCTGGTGGTCTGGTGGAGGAAATGTCCACACGTCAAGGACCTGACAGTCTGGAAGAAGGAGGAGGTGGCATTACCCCAGAGGGGTCCAGACAATCTGCAGGAAGAGGTATCCACATCCCAGAGTGACCTAGAAGATAAGAGCAAGCTCTCCACACTCCAGAGGACCCTGGTGGTCTGCCTTAGGAAGTGTCCACACCCACACTGTCCTGACAGTCAAGAAAAAGAAGTGTCCTCACCCCAGAGGGATTTTGACTGTCTAAAGGAGATCAGGTCTACACCCAAGAGGACTCTGACAGCCTAGAGGAAGTATCCACACCCTCAGCGTCCTGACACTCTGGAGGAGGTGTCTAGACCTCAGAGGCATGCTAACAGTTGGGAGGACATCTTAACACCTCAGAGGGATGTCACCATTCTGGAGGAGGATGTGTATATACTCCAGAGCCCCTGATGGTCTGGAGGAGGAAGTGTTCTGACCCTACAGGAGCCTGGCAGTCCTAGAGGAAGTCCAGGGCAGGTAGTGTCTCTAGCCTCACTCTACTGTACTGACGAGCTTGAGGAAAGGCTGTCTACGACACAGAGGATCCTGAGGCAAAGAGGAGGGAGATTCTGTGGTGCAGCCCCCAGGCACCCCAAGTCCCCTGGGCCAGGTTCTTTTCTGGCTGCTGTTCTTTAGTGTCCTTACTCCTCTTCACTGTAAGCATCAGGGTTTCTAGGGACCCTCTTATTCCCTGTTTTCACTCTTCCTACGCTCTACACATTCTTTCTATTTCCTAGCTTCCCTCCTGCTACATTCAGCAACTTCCAGGCTCCCCTCCAATACTTTCAGTGCTGTGGGATCTCCTGATGGCAACAGAGGCCCCCAAACACTACTGGAGCCAAACTCTTTTTGCATCTCCCTGTGAGCAGGCAGCATGGCAAAATGGGCAGGAGCCTGGCTACCCAAGGTTGAATCCCAGCTCCACCACTCATCAGCCATTATTTTACCTCCTTGTGTCTCAGTTTCCTATTCTGTAGAACGAGAATGAAAATTGCATTCACCTCATACACCTCTTGTAAGAACTAAATGAGTTATCATGTGTGAAGCAGTTAAACACTATTCAGTATAGAGTAAGTCTTCAATAAGTGTTAACCATTACATCCCAAAATTCAGAAAACCAAGTTTTTTGTGTAGCTCATCTGGCTGTGAAACCTAACTGGACCTGATTTGGGCCTATTTGTAGTCTTTTTATCTTACTGGGTATGACTATTCATAAATTTCATTGCAGAAATATTAATTTACTTGATTACGTGGTGCTGTCCCAGACCCTACTTAGTGTTATATAATCGAGGGCACACACCCTTTACCTGTTCACCATGCTATCCTTCTACAATCTGGACACAGCATTCACTCCTAACTCTACCTCTGCACCGAAAGTCCCTTCACATGAACTGCCCTTCCTCTCCTTTGCACTTTTCCACCTTCCATCAGAACATCTCTACCCTCACTCAGCAGAGAACCATAGCCTGTTTTATCCATTCTAAAACATATTTTCTTCATATTTTAACAACTCTGAAGTGATGGGGTGTGTCAATTAGTTTAATTAAATGATGGCATATCATTTAAAGAGCAGCAGTTTTTCCCTTGTTGGGAAAGGGCACATAAAATAAAGGGAGCACCTTAGATTTTGACAAGATACAGGACTCAACCCCTCCTAACACTGCTTGGTTCCTAACTAAAAAAAACAGAAACACCTTTCACATCCCTCATCTTGTTGAATCTTTACAACAGCCCCTGTCTGGCTGGGATTATCACTGTCATCCCCATTCTACAGATGAGAAAACTGAGGCCTAGAGTGGTGTAGTGAAGTGCTTAGAGTCATCAAGCTAGTCAAGTGGGTTAAAAAAAAAGGCCTAAGTGTCTAAAATTGGTGCCCTGCCAGACCTGTTGGGGTTTTTTTGTTTTCTGTGGGTTTTTTTGGCTGAGGAAACAGACGCAGGGAGAGAACATTCAGGATCCCATATCTGGGAGGGGGCAGAACAGCAACCACACTCTGAGTCTTCTGGTTCCTGTTCATGTCAACACCCTTTCCAAGCTGCCAGTTTATTGCCATCTATCTTCCCTAGCCATTCTGGAGAGTTGCTAGGGAGCAGAAACATGGACTGATTTGTTCCTGAGTTCTCAGGGTGGCCCAACCCTTACAGAGTGGGATTGAAAAAGACAGCAGGAACGGTTTATGCCCTGGAGGGCTTGCAGTGTGACTCATTCCTGGTGAGATTCAGGGAGCAGGTAGGGGCAGAATAGGCAGGAAGATAAGACTGGGGAAGTTATGGGACATTCCCTCTGGTTGGGGAGGGGCTAAAAGGAAAAAGCTGGCTTAGGCACCACCCAGTGTGCTCCAAGCCCAGCAGAGGCTCGCTACCCTTTGATCCCAGGGCTTCAGAAAGGCTGTAGTGGATAGGGACTGGGAGATTGAGAAAGGCTGCACGGAGAAGTAATATCTGGAGCTGATGCCACAAGAATGTGTTCTCCAGGAGGTAGAGGGAGACTTACCATCCTCCTCAGAGTGCTGCTGTGCCTCCTGCTGTGCCCCTCTGGAGAGAGTCCCCACACTTTCACCTGGTATCAAAGCTCTTTGTGATCTGCAGCTTGCTTTAGATGGTGTCCCTCTTTTCCATTGCTTCTTGAACCCTAAGCACTCTTGCACTGTGGGTATCTGAATCCATCTCATCTCTGTCACAAGACTGACCCACAAAGGATAGGACTGGACCTCGTCCCTGTGACTCCTCCACGAAACTAACCCCTGAAGGCCAGGACCAAGCCTGGTTCCTGTGTTGTCTCCCCTACCCAACTGTGACCTGTATCTCCCCCAGCAGACACTGACTTCTGAGCACCAGGACCAGGCACAGGGTAAACCTCATAAAAGTCCACTGAATGAATGAGTGAATAAACAAAAATTTGAGGTATAGGCCAGGTTCCTGAAGGAAAAGCTGGAGTATGAGGCAGTAAGCAGTGTGACCTGAGGGATAAATCTTGGTCTTCTAAAGGTAGTGTTTATCAGCATTGGACAGGGATCAGAGGCTGGAGGTGATGGTATAAGAGGCAGGAAGGCAACAGGACACTAACGTGGCCATCCTGAGTGGAGAAAATGGAGGGTGGTAAGGGCTAGAATGGGAGATTTGAAAGTAGAAACAGCACGGCCACTAGCTGGCATGAGAGGGAGCAAGGAAGGAGGCCAGGGTGGATCCAGTGGGTCTCCAACAAAAGGAGAGGGAAGGAAGAAGGGGTATGTGTGTGTTGAGGGGGTGTCTGAGTTGCCTTTACCACCACTTCTTGACAGAGGATAGGTTTCTGGTTTAGAAAGAATAACAGGGCATTTCCTGTGAGTCTGCTATATGCTGTACACTGTGCTGGCACTTGTCTTTGAGGGCTGGGCAGAAACGTGGGAGTAGAGAATGAGATCTGCCTGGTCTGGAAGGACTCTAGGCTGAGGCATAGGCACTCTTGGTTATCAGGGGACCCTCACCCAGAGACAGGCATGGTGGGCCACACATGGGGATTACCAAAAGGCTGTGGTTGGCCCCAGGGGGAAGAGGGAACTTGAGGGATGTAGAGGAGAGATTGGGCTGGGCGGTAGTGGGGTGGAGAATCCATCTACAGCGATTGGGAGGCAGGGACAGGTTAGGGCTAGGATGGTGGAACAGCTTCATGTTTACTAGGCCAGCAGAGGAGGAAGAGATTCCTCCTGCTGTCTTAAATCCCAATTGGCAATGCACAGCCTCAGGGCCAAGGGAGGGAGGGGTTCTTACCCAAGTTCTTGTCTCCTCTCTCATCTTCCTTGTGTTTTGGCCTCAGCTAGTTTCTTGCACTGGAGACTCTCAGGGGTCTTGGTCTTATCTCTGGACCTGGGTTTTTCATATTAAGCTTCTGTCTATGTTTCTCTCTCTCTCTGCCTCTAGCTCTCCTGTCTGAATCCCCCATTCAGTCACCTTTTCCCCACCAGCCCAGAGCTCTTCTCCTTGTTCTCTGTGTCCTTCTCACTGCTGTGTACATGGCTCTGCGCTGGCTCTTCTCTTGTGCCAGGTCCTGCAATGCCTTAGGTCCTCTTGCCCTGTGTCAGTCAGTCTCTCTCATTCTCCCCTGCTCTCCTCTCCCCTCTCTGTTGGATGCTGGGTCTTTTTCTTTCTTGCCTTTGATTTAGGTCTCCTATGTCTCACTATGGGTCTCTCATGATGGGGCTGTATCTGTCTGTCTGTCTGTCTCTCTGACTGACTGACTGACTACTATCTCACTACTGGACCTTGTAGCCAGCCTCAGCCCACCATTGAGAGATTCCCTAGACCATCCAGAGGCCTGAGGAGGGATGAGTGGTAGGCAACTGAGGCCCAGCCCCCTGAGAAAGGCTGACAGATCCTCTGCCTCACTGCCTCCCATGTGTCCATGCCTGCCAGCCACATGGGTGGGGGTGCCTCTCTGCTCACTTGTTCTCCTCCTGGGGTTGCCAGGCACTGTGCTGGCTTTCCTGAGCCTTCTTGGCCAATCCCCCTCCCCCATGACCCTCTCCTCAGATCATTACCTCAGAGGAGGCAGAGCGGCGGGGCCAGATCTACGACCGCCAGGGTGCCACATACCTCTTCGACCTGGACTACGTGGAGGATGTGTACACCGTGGATGCCGCCTATTATGGCAACATCTCCCACTTTGTCAACCACAGTGTGGGTACCCTGCAGGCGGGTGGGGGTCGGGAGGAGCGGGCTGGGCCCCTCCTCACCCTCCTGCTGTTCTTTTTCTCCCAGTGCGACCCCAACCTCCAGGTGTACAACGTCTTCATAGACAACCTTGATGAGCGGCTGCCCCGCATTGCTTTCTTTGCCACAAGAACCATCTGGGCAGGCGAGGAGCTCACTTTTGATTACAACATGCAAGGTGGGGGTGTCAAGGGACTGGGGGCAGGGGCACACAGTGACATGGGACACAAGGACCCCTCCCTAAGGAGCTTTAAGATGCTCTTTCTGACTCCCAGTCTCCCATCTGGACTTTTGGACCCCTGTGTACCCTTGGGGGGGGGTCCCCTCATTTCCAACCTTTGGACCAACTTCTCCCAAGACTCCTGGGGGAGGAAGATATTTGGCTCAAGAGTTAAGATACTTCTCCTGACTCCAATCTTGTCTGAAATATCCCAAGTCCCTCAACCCTCCCTGCTCCTAACCCTTTTTGGCTTTCCTCATTCCAAGCCTCTGGACACCCTATGGCCTCCAACCAGTCCCCTACTTGACAAACTAGCCACCTCTGAGACACTCAAGAGGGGATCTTTGGCAGGAGAGTTCAGATAGCCCTCTGATGCCCAGGTGACCCTTCATTCCTGGACCTCTGCCTGACACAACCCTCCTGGTTCTCCCTGACAACCCCCTGCTCCCCCCCCCAACCCCTGGCCATCTTCCTTTACCCCGTAACCCCCAATTCCTGGCCATCTTTCTAACACTTGAACATCCTATAGTGCTAAGCCCTGGCCCTAGCCCCAACCTACCAACTCCATGACCCCCTCCTGACCCAAATCCCAGACCTGCTCCCAGCCCCCCAAGATCCCTGGGTTTCATGGTAAAGGGGCAATGGTTTCACTTCACCTAGGCCTTCTAACAAGTCCCCTCCCCCCTCCCGCCCTCCCTGGCTGTGTGACTCCACAGTGGACCCCGTGGACATGGAGAGCACCCGCATGGACTCCAACTTTGGCCTGGCCGTGCTCCCTGGCTCCCCCAAGAAGCGGGTCCGTATTGAATGCAAGTGTGGGACTGAATCCTGCCGCAAATACCTCTTCTAGCCCTTCGAAGTCTGAGGCCAGACTGACTGTGGGGGTCTAAAGCCACCTATCCCACCCACCCCATACCCACTTGCCCTCCTATTGAGGAATGACTGCCAGGGCCTCCTGCCTGCCTCCATCCACCCCCACCTGCCCTGTCCTCGGGGGTTGTGGTGAGGACTGATTTCCAGAAATCCCCTCTCCCCATCCCAGCTCCATCCATGGGTTGCACTTACAACCCTCTACCCACCTTGAGAAGTAATTTGTCAACATCAGGAGTTTCTGCAGTTGGGATTCATGGCCTATCAAGGAGGTCCAAGGGGTCAGCTCCAGCTCCAGAATAGAAAGATGTTTATACACCTGATGCTTCTGCCTGGAGCTTGAGAGGTCTGTTGCAGGCCCTCTCCCTACTGCTCCAAGAGTGTGGAAGCCGCCCCAGGGCAGGCTGACATCAGAGCTCAGACTTCCCAGTCCACTTGGTGAAAGAGGGGGTGTGCAGGGCTGGGGTGTGGTTTCCGCTTATGCTCACATGTAGGCTTTGCATCCAGGAAGTAGATGTCCACATGCCACTGGAAGGAGAGTGGATGCCTGTGGCTCACTGGTCACTGGCCAGTGAGAGGAAGGCAATCCAGACTCTCCAAGCCCTTAAGGTGGACTGTGATTGAACCCTGCCCTTGAGGTGCACAGAAGGTGCCTGGGAGCCCTGTCGGCGTGTGATGACTGCTGGGACTACTCAGAGCTGGAACCAAGACCTAGGTAGGCTGTAGATAGCACTTAGGACAAAAATGTGCATTGATGGGGTGGTGATAAGGTGCCAGGCACTGGGCTGAGCACCTGGTCTACATAGATTGTCTCAGGGAAGCCTTAAAAACTGTGGAGGTGGATCCTAGGAAAGGGCCCATATGGCAGGAGGCCAAGTATAGTCTCAAAAGTTACCTGCCCACAGATGTGCAGAAGATGAAGGCTCTGATGGCTGCCTCACCCCTTGCTTCCCCTGTGAGGTCTTCTCCAGGAAGCCTTCCCTGACTACCTGTGCTCAGAGTGCCCCTCTGTGAGACTGTGCCCTGCCACCAGATCTGTGTGGCTGTCTGTGTGTCTGTGCTCTGTACCCCTAGACTGAATTTCAGGCATGGACTGAATCTGATTCTCCTCTTGTATATTCCTCAGCCCTACCCAGCCAGAGGTGGGCATCAATAAAGTGAGTTGTCGACTGAACAAACCAAGGTGTGGGGATTGAAGACCTCACATAGGTGGGGGTCGGGGAGATGAGAGGTTGGGAATTGGGGTACCCAGGGACATGTTCTTCAAACCTCAGCCATTTGACTAGAACACCCTCACAGCATACCACCTACACCATCATCTTAACCTAAAATAAGCTTGATTTATACTTAAATTTTAAAATGCACTGAAAAAGCAAACTAAATCCATTGCCATGTCAATGGACAAAGTATTATCACTAAATACAGTAAAAATACAGAAATGTGATACAATTCTAGCTAGACCCTCCTGGCTCTTAGAAGCTTTAAATCCAAAGCTGCCTACTCCATTCAAAGAGAAAAGTCTGTTTTTATTGTATTTACATTTCCTGCAAGTATTTATTGAGCACCTAATATGCACCAGGGTAGAAAGTGGAGAACAAGGGGATGATGTTTCAAATATACTTGCTTTGATCATCCCTCAACCTGAATGTGAGCCTGTGCCTTTTGTTTTTGCTCAGAGACTTCACATACTGTGACACAGCTACCCAGAGATTTCAAAGACTTGACACACAGGTGACAGAATCCTAAACTGTTCAGAGGCTCCAACACATAGCATGCAGGACACAGGCCTCCAAACAGCTCGTAGACCATATACCCTGGGTATTGACCCCAGACCTCAGAGACCTCACATCTGGGATACACATCTCCATACAGCTTGGAGATCTCATACCTGAACACAGGCCCTGAATAACTAACAGGCTGCACCAAAACTAGGGGACCCAGACTTACAAAGAGCTCCAAGACCTAAATGCTGCCTCCTACATTGGGATCTGGACCCCAAACACATTACAGAACTTTCTGGGATAGAAATGCGCAAACATCTCAAAGACCTCACAAGCTGGGATACTGTTATCTAAGTTACTCAGAGCCTTCACACCTTAATCATTGATTCTCAGATTTCTCAGAGCCCTCACATCCTGGGACAGATCCCTAAACAGCTGAGATGTCACACCCCAAACACAGCTCAAACATCTGAGACCTCACACTTGGAATTGGGGTACCCAGGGACATGTTCCTCCATTACATTATTACAGATCCCTACATTATTGCAAAACCTTACACCTTGGACAAAGACCCCCCAGACTGCTCAGAGACATGAAAAATAGAAGACTAAACATCCCAGAGACCTCACTCCCTAGAACATGGTACCACAAGCAACTCAGAGCCTCAAGTCTTAGACACAGACCCCAAAGAGCCTAGAGATCTCACAGCCCAGAAACACCCTGTTTAGAGGATTCTGACCCTGGAAAAGATCTATGTACACCTCAGAGACCTCACATCTTTTTTTTTTATCCTCAACCGAGGACACTTTTCCATTTTTTGTTCAGATAGAGAGGGAGAGAGAGAGAGGAAGAGAAAGAGAGAGAGAAACATCGATGTGAAAAGAACACATTGAGTGACTGCCACCCATACAACCCAACCAGGGCCTGGGACAAACCGCAACCAAGGTACATGCCCCTAGTGGGAACCGAACCTGGGTCTATCCGGACCACAGGCCAACGCTCTAACCGCTGAGCCAAGCTGGCCAGGGCACCTCACATCTTTTGACACAGACACCGAAATGGTTCAGAGTAGGACGAGAGGAAAGACTACCAAATGCTTCAGAGACCTTATCTTCTATAACCCATACATCTGACTGCAGACCCTACAATGCTCAGAGACTTCAGAACCAGGGATACAGACCCACAGAACTTATAAACTGGGAGAAAGACAAACAGTTCAGAGACCTCACACCCTCTTCTCAGACCACCAGACAGCTCAGAGACCTCATACTCTTGACAGATTCCTCTTCAGATATGTCATGTACTGGACACAGACTTCCTAAAAATAGCTCAGAGCCTTCATACACCGAGACAAATCCCCAAACAGCTCAGAGGCCTCTCACTCAGCTCATGGAAGAGCTCAAAGACCTTAAAATCTGGATACCAATCCTCTACAAAGTTTAGAGACTTTGTACCCTGTTATACACACCCCAAATATCTCTGAGATCACACAACCTGGACATAGACCCCAAACAGCTTACAAACCTCACATTCTGGGCTCAATTCCCCAAACAGTTCAGAATCTTCACACTATAAGCACAGACCAAATGATTCAGAAAAATCACACCCTAGACTGAGACCTCAGATAGTTCTGATCCTTTGTATTCATATCCAGAAAGATTTGAAATAATCTGACACTCATAGACATATCACCAAACATATTCTGTGCAAAGTCTGCCACAAACAGCAGAGAGACCTCGTAACTGGGACAAAGACCCACAACAGCTTAGGGACCCCACATTGTGGGTGCAAGCTCTCAGACAATTCAGAGAACTTCTAACCTGGGAGACAGACACAAAAACAGCCCAGAGATAGCACATCTGGCTACATATGCCCACACGGCTCAAGTACTTCACATTATGGAACAGAAACCCTCAGGGAGTTCATTAACCTCACAATCTGCAAAGCAGACCCACAGGTTTTCCAGAAACCTCACACATTAGACACACAATGCCAAAAGGCTCTGAGTTAACAAAACTTACTAGAACAGAGATCCCTCACACAGCTCAGAGACATAACCACCTGGACATGGACTCCCCGCCACACCAAACACCTGAGAGACATCATAAACTGGTAACAGAACCCCAAACCACTTAGAGACCTCAAATGCTGGAAACAGACTCCTAAATAAGTCAGAGACCTCATACCCTGGAACTGAAACTCCCTCAATAGGGACTACTATGCCCCTGGAAACACACCCCAACAGTTAGGGACCTCAAGGGATACAAAGATCTGAGATCTCGCACTCTGGGACACACCTCAGAGGTCTGAAACAATAAAAAGACAACAAACTTGGGAAATAGATTCTGAAACTGCACTGAAAAATCACACCCAAGGACAAAAGTCACAACATCATAGAGAACTCATTCCCTAGGATATGGGCTCAAAACCATTCACAGGGGTGACATCCTGAGCACAGACACAAACACACTAGAGTTATCTGAGGGTTGTAGGCCCTCATACCTGAAAAGAGAGACTTCTAAATAGTTCAGAGATACCATACTCAGCACAGAGACCACCACAGCATTGAGAGATTTCATACACCAAATAAAGACCTTTAAACATCACAGAAAACTAACTGGGGTGTATGTGCATACACACACACACCATTGGAAGTTCAGAGACCATAACCCTGGAATAAACCCCTAATGAGTCAGATATGTCACACCCTGGGACTGAGACCTCCCAAGAGGAAGAGGCTTCACACCTGAAAATATATCCTAAACAGGTCAAGGAACTCTCAAACCAAAAGAGCTCAGGGACCATATATTTTAGGGCAATCACCCAAACAGTTCAGTGAACTCACCCCTGGAATGTAGACCAGTAAAAGCTCAGAACCCTTGAATCCTGGATTCAGAAATTCTTCTGAGACTTAGGGTATAGATCCCGAAACATAATGCCGAGAATTAATATGCTGGATGCAGAACATCAACTAATTCAGAGACCTCAAATCATGGGACATACATACCCAAACAGATCAGGGACCTCTCACACTCTGAGACATACACACAAAAACAGTTAAGAGAATTCAAATTCTAGGAAATAAACACCCCCCCCACCAAACAGACCTCATATCCTGTGATGTATGTACAAAAATATCAACCACACTAACTGAGATATACACCCACAAATATTTCAGAGAAATAGCATCCAGGGACAGATACCCACAAACATTATAGACCTCAACCCCTGTGACAGATGCACATAAAAATATCAGACACCTCATATGCCAGGACAAAATCCCACAAACAGATCAATGCACTCACATCCTGGGAAATAAACTAAATGGATCAGGGACTGCACACATTGAGACCTATACCCACAAAGAGAGCAGAGACTCAAGTTGTAGGACATAAACCCAAAACACCCCAGAGACCTCACATGCTGGGACGAAGAAAATAGGTCAAAACCTGGCAACCTGGGACACACAACCACATACAGATCAGAGACCACACACTGCTGACAAACATACAAGAACAGACTGTCATAACCTGAGACAAAACCACAAGGAATCAGACATCTCACATCCTGATGGACAAACAAATCTGAAACCCTGGGACACAGACCCTCAAATCGATCAGAGACTTCATACCCTTGGACATACACCCACAGAGAGTAGAGCTACCAAGCTAGATACACACACACAACTAGATGAAAGACCTCTCAACCTGGGACACAAACACAATCACAACATAGACCTACTATCTTAAGGCACACCTGCAAAACATCAGAGTGCACACCATGGGATGTATACCCACAAAGGGATCAGATACTGCCCACCCTTTGTTGTACATAAAAATAGACCAGAGAGATGTACATTCTAGGAAATACATTTCAAAATCCTGGGAAATACATACACAAAGAGATTAGAGACCTCAAACCCTGGGATATACGCCCACAAATGGATCAGAAACCACACACCCTGAGACATATGCCCACAAACAGTTGGGGATTTCATATCCTGGAATAAACAGCTAGAAACAGAGACCTCAAAAGAGATATCACATCTTGGGATATACAGTGAAAAAATGTTTACAGATTTCACATGCTGGGAAATATGCACAGAAACAGATCAGAAACTTCACATCCTAGCACACACCCTCAAACAGATCACAGACACAAAATTCTTCAAAACACATCCACAAACCATTCACAAACATTGCATCCTGGAACATATAACAACAAATCAGAGACCTCATATCCGGGGACTGCACCGACAAAGAGAATACAGATAACAGATCCTGAGACATATACCCAGAAACATCAGATAAAATCCTGGAAAGATGGCCATAAATAGATCAGAGACTCCCACTGACAAAATACACATGAGTGGAGAGAGACACACTCTGGAGCACATACCCACAAACAGCTCAGAAAAATCACATATGTTGGAAAATACACCCACAA